AACTTATGAGTCAAAGACTTTAAACTCAGCCCTTTAGCTCCCCAACCACAGCCTCAAGCAGCTTCTGAACCTAAAAATCGTTGGCAACTCGGACCTGAACCGCAATTATATGTGCAAATGAACATGGATTTTTTGAAGAACGACCGTTCGAGCAATACTTTCAATTTTTCAATGAACTGAAAATTTGCATATTTTCAAAAATTCGTTTGCAGCTTGGACCTTAACCGCAATCGTATATGTAAATGAACGTGCATTTTTTGGCGAACGACCGCTCGAGCAATACTTTCACTTTTTAGTGAACTGGAAATTTGCATTTTTTCAAAAAATTTACATTTGTCATTTTTTCACAAAGCAAGGCATTTATCGAAAAAACAACCGGACTTTATGCAAAAAACCGGTAATCATGCACCTTCATCCTAACAGTTATTAAACGGAACTGATGCCTTATTTCCTAACCAAAAAGAGATCCGTTTGAAATTTGACGATCTCTAATCAAAATGTTCGCCCTTTTTTTATTATGCGTTTTAATGGACTCAAACCCAGCCCCCGGGGCATATGTTGCTTTTTTTTGGGTAACCTGATAATCGATGCTGAAAAGCTAAAGGATTTTAATTTTAAGAGAATATTTCCCGTCCATCTAAGTCTCATTCAGCTCAAATCCAGCCCTCGAGTATACGTGCACGGGCTCACCAAAGTTTTTCTCGGGTAAATTGCTAACTCAAGAACCTGAAAAGTCAGAAGACTATAGTTTTAAGAGGATGTTCTCCGTCCAAGTAAGTCACAACGAGCTCAATCTCAGACATCGGATATGCGTGGTACTTACGTGCGGGCCCGCGAAAGTTTTTTTCCAGTAAGTTGCTAACTCGGGGGCCAGGAAAGCTAGAAAGCTGAAATATTAAGGGCTGTTTTCTGACAGTTCTAGCGGTCAGTCCTAATTTCTTTAGCTGGATGCATTTGCCGAAAAAACCGATGCCGGTAGCGACAAAAATTGCGGGGAACTATGCAAAAAACGCATC